CCAGGATTCAAGCCTTTGTGCAGACATTTTCACGGGGTGGGCTGACCTGGGTGACCAGCGGGGGTCAGCAACAGGAGTCTGTGAGTCCCAAGAGTAGATGTGAGGTTACTCTGGGACTGGCTGTGGGGAGCCAGCCAGTGGGGAGGACATGCAGGCAGCTGCGGAGAGATACACGTGGTGGGGGGCGAGGAGGCCTCCCCTACATAGCTGGGAGGCGGGGCCACCTGGAAGCGGCCCCTCCACTCCATCCGGAAGCCCTGGCTGACATCTGGCCTGCAACCTTACCGATGACCCCAAGCCAGAGCCGCCCAAACAAATCACTTCTGAATTCCTGACCCACAGAAGCTATGGAAAAAATGTGTTTATTGCTCTTTCAAGTCACTTGGTTTTTGGGATGGTTTGTTACCACCCAGCAAGTGGACACAGGTAGGCGTGCTAAAGCATGCAGAGGACCCGGCCCCACTAGAGCCCAGGACCTTAGTTTCTGGGGAGAAAGAGACCAAATATCCTGTCCTGCCAATGGGTTTCAGCCCTGGGCAAGTTCACTATAGATTCAATGTGACCAAAGAAAATGACAGTAAAACGTTCTTGGGGTGAAAGCGTTATACCCAACTTTATTCCCAGGTGGCAGGTCAGTCACTAGAATCCCGTTCACTCAGAGAGAGTCTGCAGGCAGCAAGCCGGTCTCTGCCTCTGGGTCCCTCTGTCTGCACAGCTGTCCTCTGGGTCCCTCTGTCTGCACAGCTGTCCTCTGGGCCCCTCTGTCCACACAGCTGTCCTCTGGGCCTTTCTGCACAGTCATCCTGCACAGCCGTCTTTCGGGCCTCTGTCCTCGGCGCTGCCACCACTCCAGCCTCTGCTCTGCTCTCTGGCAGCCTTGCAGCCCTGCCACCGTGTCGCCCAGAGCACTGGGTAGAGCTTCTTACATAGAGTCAATAGCAACGTATCACCCACAGGTGTGCAGCCAACCAGGGCCAGGTGGGAATCCTGACCACAGGAGCTCTCATTTTATCCACACATCCTCAGCCATGTTTAACTGTGTGTCTTGCAACATGACCTAGCTAGGGTGTTGATTTCCATCTGTTTGTGGGCGAATCTGTGACAATCTCCCACGCCCTAAGCCCACAATGCTGGCTTATTAAAAATAAACCAACCGCAGAATATATTAATTTTGTAACCTCCCAGCCCGATTATTTCTAGGTATGAGGACTTCAAGGGATGGCAAGGCGCCCACACTGCCCTCACGATGAAAGCCTCTGGAATCGTCGGAGGGGTTAAACTGTGCACCTTAAGAAATAAAGTTATGAGCCTTACTTTTTTGGGGTGATTACAAAGGATGAAGCTTCAAGGAATGGCCATGAATCTAGTCCAGGCCTGGCCAGAATTATTATTATTATTATTATTATTATTATTATTATTATTATTAAGGAAGTCACTGAGAGTATTTTTAACTGCAGAACAAACGGAACGAGGGAAAACGGTTTGCATCAATCCTACCTTTTTCTCCCAGGCTGAGGCTTCAGCTGATCCCTGCCGCTGGACCACCTCCTCATTGGTCCCTGGGAGCATGTGACATGCCTCTTCCTCCAATCACTAGCAGGCAAGGTGGGGCGAGCGCGGCAGCATCCGGGCAGGCTGGTTGGCTGCTGCCATGGCAACCGTGTGTGATGTCGCAAAGCTGCCCAGGGTCCGGCTCCCCGGTGGGGCCTGTGGCTCTCTGTCTGCTCTGATCTGCACGACTCACCTGCCAGCTGGGGGCTTTCCTCTCCCCGCCTCACCGATGAGGAAACTGAGGCACGCGGGTTGTCTCAATTTCATAATTGCTGGGAGAAAAGGGGGGCTGAAGGCAGGGGGAAATTTTTTAAATCCTAATGACTCCAGGGAATTATGCTGAGCAAAAAAAGGCCAGCGCCAAAGGTCACAAGGTCACATCCCGTCAGATTCTATTTATATAACACTTTTAAGTGGCAACACTTTAGAAATGGAGGGCGGATGAGTGGTTGGGGCCAGGGCCCTGGTCATAACGGGGCATGTCCAGGATCCTTGAGGCAGCAGATACAGGAACCCACCCAGCTGGTAAAATCGTAGACAACTTAGCGCACGAAAGTGCACACACCCAGACGCATGCACACACACTGCAAGCAACATCGGTCAACTTGAAATCCAAGTAAGGTAGGTGACGTGTCCATGACAACAACCTGGTTGAGATACTATTGTTTTGCAAAACGTGACTGTTGGGGAAGGTGGACAAGAAGCGGTACAAGCGAATCTCACAGTGTGGATTTTTACAACTTTACACAATGTGATTTCTTACAAGGTGAATCTGCAATGGTCTCGATAAAAATTAAAAAAAAATTCTGTTTGTTGGTTCCCCAGTAGTTAAACTTAGAATGGCCATTATGACCCAGCAATTCCAGGAGAATTTAAAACAGGCGTCAAAAGCAAAATTGCATGCACGGGCATTCCTAAGAGCCTGTGCAAAGAGTCCAAAGTGGGAACGAGTGTCCATCAGGGATGAACAAAGAAACAGGACGTGGTCCATCCACACGTGGATCTTCCCACAGCCACAAAAAGGTGTGGAGTTTCGCCACACGCTACACATGGACAGACCCCAACACATGGTGCTCAGTGAAGATGCTTGACACAGAAGGCCACACAGCATGCAACTCCATTTCTGTGACACGTCCACAACAGGTGAACCCACAGACAGACAGTGGGTTCCTGGTTATCAGGAGCTGGCGAGGGGGTGGGGGGGACTGCTCATGGGGACAGGGCTGCTTTTTGGGGGATGGAATATTCTGGAACGGGACAGAGGTGGTGGTTGCACACGGTGAATGTACTAAACACCACTGAATTGTATACTTTAAAATGACCAAAACAGTACATTTTATGTTCCATGTATTTACCACCATTTTTTAAATGATCCTACTGCCCACATGGTGCTGCAGGCCAATTATGGCAAAGTTGGGGCCCTGTCTCTTCACTGTCAGCCTGCCTCCCCCAGTCTGCCCTCTCAGATGCTCAAGGTGCTCACCACCACGGAGGAGAAAAATACGGTTGAATCAAGAAAAGCCAGTAAGCTGGAGTCATTTCTGCTCTCGGGGGAAAGTAGCAAAATTCTCGTGGGGGGTTGTGTCTAGGTTGCTGTGCGTCAACACGAGATGAGGCCAGGTCTGGTGCAGGTTAAAGAAAAACTCAGTTCTTTGGGTTACCCTGTCAAGCGGTCTATCAACAAACCTTTAGGGAGTGCCCACTGCGTGCCAGCGTGGAGCGAGGGCACGGTCGGTGGTGAAGGATGGAAAAGGTGGGCCTGTTTGCGCCCTGGGGAGCCCACAGCCCCGGGACCAAGATCTTTAGTTTCCAAAGAATGCAGTTCTTGACTGCAAGGTTGTTCTGGGCAAGGTGTCGTGCGCAGCTAGGGCCACACGGTGGCGACAGAGGACAGGAGTTCGGGTCCATCCTGGTCGTTGGAGCCCCAGGCAGGTTCTGGAGGTTTTTACCGGCAAGTCCTTGGGGGCTTTCGGCTCATCCCTGCTCCCGCCCAGAGCAAATCCACCCCTGGCTGCGGCCAGGGTCAGGCGCTCACTCATGGCAATGAATATTTGTGGAATGAATTCTTGTTTGCGTTCACCAACCCCTGCCCCCTGCCCACGCTTCACCTTTCCCTGCCAGGTAGCACTCCACTCACTCCTCATAGCGTTACCACATTTAACAAGTAAAAATACAGGACGCCCTACGAAATCCGAATTTCAGTGATTCACGAAATATCCTTTGGTGGAATGTCCAGGCCCAAACCTGAGATGTTGTACCTTTCAGAAGGTTGTACCCCTGGCTCAGGCCCTAGTCCCCACCTCTGCAAGGACTCTTTCCCACCCCATCATCTCCCTGGGGCCCGCTCTTTCTGTGGCCAAAATGCCACCTGCCTGCTGCCTCTGTCCAGTCACTGCCTGACTTCAGCCAGGTCACCTGGGGCCGCTGCAGCCACGCCCAATTCCCCTGCTGAACTGTGGGCTTGGCCCAGGGGCGGGCATTGCCCACCCACCCACCCATACGTGCTTCCTGTGGCTGCCTGAGCCAGTTACCACGAAGTCGGGGCAGTGTAAAACCATAGGAATGTGTTCTCTCCCTGTTGTGCGGACCAGACCCCTAAAATCAGCACCAGCAAGGTGTCGAGGGGCTGTGCCCCCTCCGGAGGCTGCAGGGGCGGCTCCTTCCTGCCTCTGAGTTCTGGGGGCTCCGGGTGTGTCCCTTGGCTTGTGGTCACATCACCGCAGTCTCTGCCTCCACCGCCACAGGGCCTGTCCTCTGCTGACGGTTCTCTGCCCCCTCTATGCCGCCCACCGTGCCTTCCAGCTTTCCTAGCAGGCTGCCCAAGGCCCCTCCTCACCGCTCACTCGGGCCAGCAGTCTGTGAGCACCAAAGCACCCAGGCTTGTCCCTGGAGCGGTCCTGGGCCCCTTCCTGTCACCAGGCCCTGCACCCCACGCCCCAGCCTCCACAGCTTTCTTCCCCTCCCCTGGAATGTTGGCGGCACAGGCTGACTGCCGCAGGTCCAGCCCATGGCCGCTCGGTCCTGCCTCCCGGCCAACCCCAGCCCTCTGCTCCCAACCAGGCCAGGGAGGATTAGGATGCCTATGGCTCATCACTCCAGGGACTGCGGGGTGTCCGGATACATCTCGGGAAAGGGAACTCCCAGACCTGCCTCTCCGTCTGCACAATGGCGAGCAGACACGTATGCTGGGGCCGAGGGTCCCCCTGCACACCCCAGAGCTGGCTGGCTGGGTGCCCCCAGAAGGGATGGCCTGGCACCCCTCCCCTACAGACTCAGTGCCCTTGTCTGGAATGGGACAGAGTGCCTGGCTATGAGAAAGGTGTGAACCAGGGAGTTGGGGTGCCTGGGGCCTTAATTCCTTTATTTGGAAGATTATGGGGTGAGAAGCCAGATCTGAGGCCCTTCTCGCCTGCCTCCCCAGCGCCCACCCACCGACACCACACCAAGGGTCACGTGTAGTAAAAAGACTTTATTAAGAAGGCTTTGAAGTCAAAAAATAAAACTCTTGATACAATTTTCTGAACCCTTAAGTCAGCTCAGCAAATATATAATCAGTAATTTAGCTGTGTAAGATTAAAGGTCCATTACTTTATTTAAAATAAAATATATTTTAGTTCTTAAAATTTATTCCATAAAGTACATATTTCCCTATAAATTCCCTACATATACACAAGAGGTAAAAAGTAAAAGTTTAAAAAAAATTTTTTTAAATGTAAAATCTGACAACAGAAACCACAGCAGAAGGGGATTAATAATTAAAAACAAAACCAGTTAGAAATTTCCGAGCGGATGCCCCTCGCCGCCCGCCCCCCTCTGGCCTGGGCCGAGCCCCTCCCCAAAGGGCAGCCGGGGGCTCCAAGAGGGGCTCGGCGTGGCCGCACCCTCTTTCTGCAAGTTTCTGCTGAGGCTGCAGCTGCAGGCCAAGGTGAAACACTGTCAAATCAGAAATCCGCCGGGTACAAAACGGCTGAGGAGCTGTAAAAATCGCGTTTGTGTTTTTCTCTTAAAAAGATCCCCCCAGGGGAGTGGGGTGGGGGCTTAAATAGAAAGTGCAGGCGGAGTTTCTCGCTGTGGTTTATTGTAAGCTGTCCACTCAATACTGTCACTGGCCGTGGGTGGAGAGGCCGCGGGCACCGCCGTCTGCACGCCTGGGACCGGGGTCGGAGCTCGCCTGTGCGCACCGGGCCCGCGCCCCGCTAGGAGAAGATATGAATGGCCTGGGTGGCGGGCGTGCGGCACGCGGGGCACACGGGCTCGCTCTTGCCGCAGATGCGCACGGCGCAGTCCATGCAGAAGAGGTTGTGGCCGCAGGGCACCAGCGCGGCCATCACCTCGCCCTCGGCGCACACCACGCACTCCCGCGCCGAGGCCGCGCCGGGGGCCGCCGGGGGCTTGCGGCCGCCGTCCGGGGCGCTGGGGTCCAGGGCCGCGCACGGGGAGGCCGAGGGGCCGCCGGGCGGCGAGGCGGCCGCGGGGAAGCCGGCGCTGCTCGGGAGGGCCGCCAGCGAGCCCTGCGCGGGCCGCCAGGGCAGGGCGCCCACCGGGTCCGGGGCGCCGCGGCGCGCCGGCGGGCGCTCCGGGCCCAGGCCGGCCGGCTCGGGCAGCGTGGGCGAGTGTCGCGGCGTGCCGGGCCCGCTGCTGCGCCGGGCACCCGGGGCCGCTGGCGCGGGCGCCCCGTTCACCGCCGAGCAGCTGCCGAGGGCTGGCAGGGGCACGGCCCGCTCGAAGGGGGCCCAGATGGCGGCGGCGGCGGGCACCGTCAGGTCCAGCGCCAGGAAGTCGAAGCCGAAGTCGCAGTCCTCGGGGGCCCCCGGGCCGTCCCCGCCGAGGGCGAAGCCCCCGCTGCCCGCGCTGCCGTAGGGGCTGGCGGGGCCTGTGTCCGGCACAGGCGGGCCCCCGCGACTACCTGCGTAGAAGGCGTCGGGGCCCCCCGGGGCGCCCAGGGCCCCGTCCCCGCGGAGAGCGGCCGCGGGCGCCGGGGGACGCCGCCCGGGGTTGGGGGCCTTGGCCCAGAGGCCGGCGGCCGCCCCGAGCAGGTCCAGGCACACGTCGGTGCCATTGGCATGGAAGTCACTGTCCGGGCCGGCGTCGGCGAAGGCGCCGGTGCGCAGCGTGATGTGCGCCTCGATCTCCTCGCGCGCGCGGTCCACGTTCTCGGGCATGCCGGTCACGGCGAACACCGGCTCCTTGTCGCGCCCCGGCGTCACGATGTACGTGTGCGTCCGCTGCTGGATGCGCTTGATGGTGGCGCCCTTGGGCCCCACCACCAGCCCCACCACGCGGTAGGGCACGCGCACCTGGATGGTGGTCTGTCCTGGCAGGTTGGGCGGGCCCTGCGTGGCCCCGGGCAGCCCGCCGGCCTTGCTGCGCGTGGCGCGGATCACGGAGAAGTGCTCGGCAGCCGACAGGATCTCGCGCTTGGCCATCTCCACGTCCTCCTTGCGGCCCGTCACGATGAAGACCGGCTCCTCCCCGCGCACCGGCGTCTTGATGTAGGTGTTCGTCTTGGCGCGCAGGGCCTTTATCTTGCACCCTGGGACGGGGTAGGGGTGGGTCACGGTGAGGGTGGGGACCCCGGGCCAGTCCTCCCCCAGAGCACCTGCAGGGGCCAGCCTCCTCGGACGTGCCGCATCCCTCCCAAAGCCTCAGCTTCCACTGTGGTTCCGGGGGTGGGGGGAGGGGTGTTCTGCAAAAGGGCAAGAAAGCGGGGAGGACCCTACTGTGGGTCGGATAGTGTCCCCCCAAATTCACATCTACCCAGAGCCTTAGAACGGGACCTTGTCTGGAAAGATGGCCTTTGAAGACTTGACTAAGGTAAGGCTGCATGCCAGTAGGTAGGCGCTGAAGCCACTGCCCGGGGGGAACACAGACATTCAGGGTTTGGGGTGATGTGGCCACAGCCAGGACATGAAGGGCTGGCAGCCACTACAACTGGGAAGCACCCACTCCTACTGCTTCAGGCCACCCAGTTCATCACAGCAGCCCCAGGACACTAATGCAGACCCCCTGACACCGACTCCCCATCCCAAGGTGGGGAGACACCCCCACGCACTTTCCTGCCAACCAAGTGCCCCACCCAAGCCCAAGGGGAGCCGAGGAAGGTCTCAGCAGATGGCAGACTCCTGGGCCCTAAGCCAGGGTGCCCCCCAAGGCTCTGGACTCAGACCCCGTGGGGGGTGCAGGAGCGTCCCTTGGGGGTGCACAGTCAGTCCTGCAGTGTCTCTTGATGGGGGCACCTGCCTAGGTCCCTGACACTCCCCACCCCAGGGCCTTTTGAGACATCTTGAGTCTGGGCCCGGGAGTCTGGGAGACGCCCCCCAACGCCAGGGTCCGGGAGGCTGAAGGGACACAGGGATATTGTTTCAATACAAACAGAGGGTGGCATTGATGGGAATAACAGTGTTGCTAACTTCGCAAGCAGCAGAAGATACAAAGTTAGCAGGGCCAGCTTCTCTGGGACCTGTGGTGGGGGGGAGGGCACAGGGAGGGCAAACCAGGAGGCCACCGTGCAGGAGGGGCTTCCAGCAAGAGCGGGGCCAGCAAATCCCGGAGGATGGAGGGTGGGGAGGCAGCTTGGTCCCCAGCCACTGCCCAGTCCCGTGTCCTCTCTCTCTGAGGCTGTCTCCTCACCAGCGGCCCCCAGCCCATCCTGACCTGCACCTGCCTGATGGCCCTTTTTCATTTGGCCGCTCGGAGAGCACTTTCCGATCACACACATCAGCCCTGTCCCCTCCTGCCGCAAACCCTGCCCTGGCCCGATGCCCCCACACATGACCTTTCCCACCCTGAACGCTGCCCTCACTGACCGCCGTCCAGACATCTCCATTTTCTGCATCAAATCGCATTTCAGCACTAGCCCGTCCCCCAGGAACCCTGCCCTGACTGCACCGGGCCAGTCCTGCAAACACCACAGGCCGGACTCTCTGGGCGACAGCTGGCATACTAGGATTGCTCTGGGCACCCAAAGCCCAGCCTCCCGCCACCGTGAGGAGCTCGAAGGGGGCACATGGCCCCGTGGGGAGGCCAGTCTGTGAAACCCCACCGCAGTGGACCCCCGAGCTGGGTCGGGGCCCGGAGGGATCCTGCAGCTTCCCCCTCACCAGCCTTCACCCTGCCCTGTCTCAGAGGGTGGCCCTGGACGGAGCCCTCGGAGCTGAGAGGGGCCCTATTCATTGACTGTGCTTCAGCTGTGACACGCTGGCTGCAACTCCTACCCACGCCAAGAGCCCAGGAAGGGGCAGAGCCCAGGGTGCTCAGCCCAGGAAACTGGGGCTCCAGGAATGGGCCCTGCCGCAACCATGCCCCAGTGGGGATGACAGAGAGGCAAGCGTGCTGACAGGGAACCAAGGCCCATGCCTGGAGGGTCCCTGGAGGCCACCACTGGCCCATGGGCACAGGCTGAAATACAGGTTCCAGGGCCCTGCTCCCAGGAAGCCAAATCAGAGGGCCTGTGTGCCTGGGGATGTAGGCGCCCACCCCAGAGGCTGGCTAGGGTCCCTGGCAACCCCCACCCCACGGCAGCTGGACCCTCCCCTCAAAGCGGGGCCTCCAGGGTCCCCCAGCATAGCCTAGTCCACTGGTCGTGTGACCCTGTTCTGGGGTTGTACCTGTGCGCCGGGGACCCAGGAAACCAGGCCCAAGGGGTGCTGACAGGCCACACTAACCCGACAGAAACTCAAGGCGGCGACGGGGGCCAAGGGGGCCATCTGGGAGGAGGGGGCAGCGGGGCAAAGCTCTGGAGGCAGGACCGGGTGCGACACAGCCCGCCTCAAGCCCAGTGGGTGCTCTCCCTGAGGCCGGGGGGAGGATGGGGGTGGTCCCAGTGTGGGGGTCTGCAGGCAAGACAGCTCGCCTGTGAAACGGGACACAGGAAGAGGTGGGGCAGGGCATACCCACACTTGCCAACACGCAGAACCCCCAACCTGACCCCAGAGCCCCTTTCTTTCTCTGCCCCACAGTGATAGACAGGGACCCCAGGGCGAGGGCCCCACCATCACCCCTGCAGCGTCACCAGCTGTCAGGAAGGGCCCCCGAGGCCCCCGTGAGGACAGTCAGTGACCAGGGACCCCCACCTGACAACAGCACAGGTAGGTGGGGGGCAGGGGGTCCTGTGTGGCTGCCAGTCTGAGCCCTGCCTTCAGCACTGTTCATTCACTCATTCCCGACCAGAACCTTCTGTGTGCAGGCCGTGTGCCAGGTGCTGAAGACCCAACCAAACCAAGCCTGGCCTGGCCACACCCAGGTGAGGAGGGCCAAAGACAGGGTCTCGGAAGAGCCGCAGTGGCCAGGCGCACAGCGAGCGTGCATCAGCCGGAGGGAGCCACCCTCCACCTCTGGAATCTCCCCTTCTCTGCAAAATGGGCGCCTCCCTCTGTCCCCAAACTTGGGGCTCGGAAGGTTCCAGTACCCTGCGCCTGACTCCTGCCACCACCTGTGTGGACTCGGCTGCCCTGGAAGCACCCTGGGGCGCCAGGACACGTGCATTCACGCAGAACACGCCCTCTCACTCCACCGACAGGCACCTCAGCCTAGACCCTGGGGATCAGACCCCAGGCCTGTTTCCTCACTGCAGATTTCTGGGCACTCGGCGCACGGCAGCTGTCTTGTTACTTGTCCCAGTGCAGAAATGGGGGACAGGGTCAAGGGAGGGGGACCTAAACAGGAAGACGGCACTAGGGTGGTGGAGGGGACCGCCCTGCCCAGGCTCCTGCCTTACCTGTCCACAGAGGCGGCTGGCAGGGCCCAGAGAACCACGTGTCCCCACCCCTCCCACTCCGTCTTTCAGCCCAGCACTACACCTCCTCGCAGCCCTGTGTGGGGATGAACAACTGACCGAACCCACTTGCACCCCAAGCTGGGGAGGGCTGGCTGGCCAACCGTTCCGCCCACTCGAAACAAGTGGAGGGCGGTGCCCGGGGTATCCCCGAGGTCCTCTGCTTGCTGAAGCAGCCAGGTGACAGGTCACCTTGCAATTTAACCCTCTTCTGGCCCCCATTACTAAGGGCCCAGGGGCCAGAACCCCCAGCCTGACGGAGCTGCAGCCCCACCTCACGCCCCACCCAGACCCCTCCCCAAGATCTGGAAGCTGCTGACAAGTAGGGGAAGGAGAAAGTTGAGGGGGGCGGCAGTGTGCTAACAGGGTGGGTGGGTGTGTGCTGGGCCGGGCACTGCCCACCACCCTCCTGCCAGCCCGCCCCACAGCTCCAGGGCCAATGAGCGGCGGCCGGCCTGATGTCACCCTGCGAATCTCAGCCTGGCTCTCTAACAAAGAGAACAATGGGGCGGCCAGGGGACGCTGACACCACCACCACCAGGACCCCCACGCTGCCCGGACCCCCTCACCAGGGTCTGCCGCCCCCAGTCTGCCAGGGGAGAGCTGGGGGCTAGGCCCCAGGAGCAGCTTTTACAACTGGTCCTCACGTATGAGCCCAAGCCCCACTCAGGGTTGAGAGTGGGTAGGGACCCTGTCTTCTCCTTCGTGCCTCCCACCCCCCGCGGGAACCCCACGCTGGCAAGTCGAGACGGGTAACCTCTCTGTGAGCCAAGCTTCCCTCCTGGCCCTGCCGGGAGCCCCCCAGCCACCCCTAAATCCCAGCGAGCCCCGCCCCAGCATGTTTAGGGTATGGAGCGCCCCGCCCCGCCCGGTCCCCTGCCCCGGGATGCCACCGCCGGTGGCCCACAGCCCACAGCCTATGGCCCAGGCAGGGGCGCTGCACGCAGGGGCCTTCCCGGGCCGGAGGCGCGCAGACAAAGGCAGCGGCGGGCCGGAGCGTGAGCGGAGGGGCGCGGGCTGCGCCCAACTTTCTCCCGCGGCAGTGGCAGGACAAAGGCGCAAAGGCGGCCACGGAGGCCGGGGCCCGGAGCCCACGCGGGGCGTGTCCGGGCCAGCCAGGGAGACCCCTCCCGGGGCGAGGGGCACCCCCGACGGCAGCCACTCACCCTGGCGACCCACGATCTCGGCGACATGCTCGGAGCTGGGGACGGGCACGCACTCGGTCATGTTCACGCTCTTCCTGCGGCTGCCGACCATGTTCATCTGCTCCGCCAGCAGCGTCGGGGGGCCCA